TGGTGAACAAAGTGGAGCACAACTGAAGCAATATTATTAGCATAAATTGGAATTATCTTTTTTATTTTAATACTTTTTTTTTTTCCCCCACTAATAAGGATCTGGTCTTGTGTAAGGTCCTGGAATTTTGACAACCAGCACTGAGAGTCAATCAATTCCTCTGAGAGAGGAGGGAGGAAGAAGTGGAAATCCTCCAGCCTCAAGGACAGGGCAGAAGGTGTCCCAGAATTACCAAGCTGTGACACACTGGTGCTTGACTTCAGTGCTGGACAGTATAACCAGGAGCTGGGGTTTATGAGGGGGACAGGGCAGGAAATGAGAGATAAACTTTAGCTACAATTAACTCAAGTCAGGGAAAATCTCAGGACAGTTTAATAATCTGTAACTTGACCAAGTACCAAGAGATGTCTGACAACATCAGATGTCCTGAAAAACTCAGCTTCCTGAAATTGCTACATTATCCCTGTGTTTCTCTGACTCCTATTTTGTAAAGTTAGATTAAGAAGATGTACGTTAAACACAAAAGAACAACCACTTAAGTATTACTTAATTACCTGTATTATTTTTGAAGAAGCTAGTTTTGCTGACAAAAATACTGTGAATTTTTTTTTTTTATTTCTGATTCCTAGACTTGAAGTCTGTGCTTCACCATTTTTACAGTAGTAGTTTTACATTTTATCAAGGATTGCAATCCAAGTTCTTACGGGCACTGTGCAAAAGCAGAGAAGAAAGGTGGATACAGCCTCAGACCTGGAATGGAATGTTTGTGAAATGACTGCAATTCATGTCAACAAGGATAGTGAATAGGATAGTTAGCACAGAAAATCCCAGTGTGGCTGAGTTAAGAGAGATTCTTTTAATGCATATAATTGATACAGCATGAATATTCAATGTTTTCCAGTTAAAGGTAAATAAGTGTGGGAGAGAAAATTGTTTCCCTCTACCATGTATGTTAGAAAAACTGTCATTGTGAAAACTTAAATATTCAGGGGGCTCAGTGGGCTCCATTATTTTCTTCTACGAGGGGTACAATTGACTCAATATTTTGCTTCTGTTAAAATGACCTGTTTTTCTCAAATATATCTAACTTGTAAGTATTTGGAGATTAACTGGTTGATCAGAAGTTATCAGAAGCATAGAAAACCTTCAGCTGAAAGGTGAGTAAGATTTGATTACCAGCTTTGTTGGAAAGTGAGGTGTGTTGATAGCCAAAGCTGCCATTGGTGCTCTCTGAAGTGATGTGCAGTCTCTTGCAAAATCAATACATAGTCAGCCTTTGTGATACTAATGCTTGCTTTGGCTGCACATGGAAAACCTCCAGTGTGATAATAGAGGACAAAGTTCACTTTCTGGATTGTTTATTGTTGAGTAATGTGCTGAAAACGTTGCAAGGTGAAAGATGATAGAGGATTTTCCAGGACAATCTTTCCCTTGAGAGAGACAATGTCTCTTTTCAAGACAACTTCCATTGTATTTTGCTCATAGATGTTCCTATGGGAACAATTGGACACTGAGGATCTGCATGTCTGAAAGCTGAATACCAGAAATGGTATCTGACAAGGATTTACTTAAATGGTGCTTGTGAGTGTGATGGTTCAAATCAACCAACTAGAGGCTTCTCTGTGGAAGACTTGGAATTTATCAGCATACTTTTATACCTTTATAGGTATCTATTCATATTGTAGTCATAGTTCCAGTGCTGAAAGATTAGAGAACATACCCATGTACCAGAACACTTCTCTGTTCTGTTGCTTTTTAGCTCCAGCTTTTCTTTTGTACCAGTCTGGAAGACAAATAAAAGTTGAGCATATGACTAGTTTGATAGTGCGTATATGAAGGTCAGTCTGCTTTCTTGTCTCTGCAAGTTGGTTCCAAGTAATGTATAACAACAGGGAAACTGCATAACAACTCTTATCCAAAACAGTTTTCCTCACTCAAGCAATTTATGACCAAGGATTCCCTTAGCCACCAGGAGCATTGTCACCATAAATGAAAGCTGCATCAGCACCATGCTAATTTCTTCAATTTATCCAAACACTTTATGAACCCATGCAAACATTCGCTGTACACAAGGTCCTATGCCAAGATGCTCCGTTGTTGAGCTGAGTTATCGAAGCATCTTTTTTTTTTTTAGTTTGAATCTACCACTTCCTATTTCATTTGATAGACACAAGTTTTCTACAGGGAAAGGTAAGGAGCAGTCATGCTCCAGTCATCTATCTTCTACTCACATCTTATGGGTGTCTGTTATATCCTCCTTTGATGGCTCTTCCCAAACCCGCAATTTCTTTTTAAGCTGCAGAGTCTAATTTCTCTAATCATTATCAGTCAGAAGTTGTTAAAGGTTTTCTAGTTGTCCTTATTTCTCTTTTTTTCTCTCTTGTTTTCTTTTCTACAAGACCAGAATTGCTCTTATATCAGGTTGTTTTTCTTTTTGCACTTAACAGATTTATAATGTGGAACATTATTTTATCTCTTTCATAATAATTCTTGAGATTTGATTTTTTCTTTTGACAGAGAATTTAGCTTATCATCATCAAAGATCTTGTCTGAGACTAGAAAGTGGATATCCAAATATCCAAAAGATATTTGGATATTGAGCTGGGAATGTGAAAAAGATAAAAATTCATCAATTTTGTCCATTTTTTAAAGGGAGAGGTGAATAAGAACTGGACAAGATAACTCTTCTCTGTCAGCAGGCACTGACTCAACAGTAGCTAAAGGGAGTATCAACATATATGGTGCCTGTCAGTGCTGCATGGTTGCAATTTTGGGACATTTTATTTTATTTTATTTCATTTTAAATGCTTCCTGAGCCTCTGTGTACAACAGGCTGCAATGGAATATATTCTGTTTATATTCTGCTAATTCAATCTTTTCAAAACACAGAACCAAGGAAGAGCTTTTAAGTATTGGAAAAATGCAATATTGTGCTTTGAAGATAGAAAGTCTGTAAATTTTTGGTCTTTTGGGAAGGAAATCTGAGCAGACATTTTATACAAGCTATTGGGAAAGAAGAAAATACCCCTTTCACTTTGTCCCTACTTTGGAACAAAAGAATCATAATTCCATTTTAATTTACATACATACATGTTTATTTGAATGTCTGTCTTTTCCTAAATACGCATCTATTCCTGCAAATCCTTACCACTACAAGTTCAGTGTAAGGCTTATTCAGAGTCTGAGTGCTTATACTGTATTTTTCTGTATCTTTTTTTTTTTTTCTTTTCAATATTTTTTCCCAAACTCCTATCATTTCAGATGATCTTACAAAAATGTTGGTAAGAAATACTGTAAGGTGTTAACGGCTATCACTATTAGAGGCTTTGATTCAATTCTCACAGGGTATAGTATACTCATTTTTTATTTTCTCCAGTTTTCAAGAAGACAATCGAAGTTCTTTGCTAAATGGGTTGATGGGATCCTACTGGAACTCTATAGAAGCTAGTACGGTAAGTAGTAGTTTGCAAAAAAAAAAGAGCTGAAATTTCATCTCTTTGGTCTGTGTGCATTAAAAGTAGAAAAGTTCTAAAAAGTTCTATTACAAGCAGAATCTATTCACCTAACCCTTTTTATCAACTTAATTTTCTCTCTTCAGAGAAAGAATGCAAGAAATTAAACAGATTCTGCAGAAAACAATTAAAGGCTAATCCTGTTCATTTTGTTTCAACCATTTTTTTCATATTTTTTCAAGCATTATTCCCAAAATTATTTGAATATTTGGACACACAACCTAAATCTGAAAAATTCTCCGTGGGTGTAATCTAAGCTTTATAAAGAATTTGTACAAAGTCATCTAGCAAAAAAACAACATTCAAACTGATCAAATCAGCTTTAGAAGACAATTTCTCCAGTAAACCCAGGAAATTATCTAGTTGGATTTCAATAATAAAAATCATAATGTCCCATATAAAGACACTTAATATAAAAATACAAAATAACTTGAATTTAGGCTTATGGCCTTGGACTCCCTGAACGTCTGGTGAAGTTAGAGTGGTCAAATTTAAGCTCTTCCCAGGAGTGATTCATTAGCGTCTTTCATTATCTATACAGGCAACCCTGAATATCAGCTGAAGCTCTTAAGTTTGATATCCAGTGTACAGTGGTGAAAATATCCTTCACTGACAGATCTAGTAATAATGTGAAGGATTATAAAGTCAGAATTGGTTATGCACAAATGTCAAGAGATTGGCATGGTGAAGATGGTGGCGGGAGAAAGCTCCAGTAGTCCTGGAGGATTCTGCGTGGGAAGTATGACAGCTTAGTGCAGATGTGCTTTTTCACTTGCTCTCCTGCTTCTTCTATATCTATACATGCCTTTTTCTTACTCCAGTAGGAGAAATTGCTTTGCAGCTACCAAAAAGAAAAGATGGCCAGAAAAGATTATTACTAAATAAAGAAACTTTATTATTTTTGTGGCACTAACATCAATTTCAGTAGTGGTAAAACAAGTTACACTATTCCAAAATGTGTAATTCCCCCACATTTATTGGCTGACAGGACAGGAAAATAACATGAACATCATTACAGAGCTAACAGACCTCAGCTACGTATTCTTAAATCCTATGAGAGTCCACTATTCACCAAACCTTGACTTCAGTTGATGCTCAATGCGGTTGAAATCCATTCATTTCCAGGAATGGCAAGAAAGAAGATCCTGATAACTAGAGGCCTCTCATTTTCATTTCAATGTTTGGAAAAATTATGAAGATTATTCTTGGAGTTATTAAAGAACATCTGAAAGACGATGCAGTCATTGATCATAACAAATAGGGCATAGAGGGGCAGCACTGATCTATGCTCTCTGGGGTTAACAACAGGACTGAGGGAATGGCATGGAGCTGTGTGGGAGAGTGGTCAGATGGATGATAAGAAAACGCTTTTCATCACACGGTGGTCAAACCCTGGAGCAGGCTGCTGGAGGCAAAGGTCATAGCCCTTAGCTGCCAGAGTTCAAGGAGTGTTTGGACAATGCTCTCAGACCCTGTGTTTGAGTTTGGAGTAGTCCTGTGTGGGACCCGGAATGGCTCCCTTCCTACTCAAGGTACTCTATTATTCTATGACCCTGAGTGCAAAATAACATCTGCCTTCTAATTCAGAGCGATATTTTTCAGGTAAGAAATTTCTTAATTAATGAAAACTACAGTATTGAAAGAGTTTAAATGCTGTATTATTTATGTTTCATAGCGGCCCTCATTCTTCCTTCCAATCTTTTGGAGTAATCTAAATGTACAACTTTGTTCGTAGAATTGTAGAATCACAGAATTCTTAAGAGTTGGAAGGGTCTTCTGAAGGCCATATAGTCCTAATCCCCTGCAAGGAATAGGGACATCACAGCCAGATCTGGTTTCCTAGGGCCTCATCCAGTTTCACCTTGAAAGTCTTCAGGGATGAGGCATCAACCATATCTCAAAGCACCTCTTCCAGTGCCTCACCACCCTCACTGTAACAGACTTTTTCATTATATCTAACCTAAATCTAACCTCTTTAAAATTGAAGCCATTCCCCTTGTTCTCTCACCACAGACCCTGCTAAACAGTCTGTCCCCTGTCCCCTTCTTTCCTATAACTCCTCTGTAGATATTGAAAAGCTGTTATCAGGTAATCTCTCAAGCTTGTTTTCTCTGGGCTGAACAGCCCCAGTTCTCTTGGACTATCCTTGTAGGAGAGGTGTTCCATCCCTTGGGTGACCTCCTCTGGGCACGTTCCAACAGGTCTATGTCTCTCACATCTCTGGTATGTGATGTTTCAGCAAATTCAGGAACACCTTTGGAAGTCCTGGATGGAAGATTTTCAGTGCTGTTTATACACCAGAGGCATGTTGTTGTTATTTTAATGGGCAGATCCTTTCTGTCCTTTATTTTTGTGTGTGTGTGTGTGTTATTGCTTTATTACTTATAGCAAAGCAACATACCATTATGGACACTACATTAGAAAAGCAACAGTGGAAACAATAACTGTCATCAGGCATAACTATAGACAGCCCCTGGAAAAAGAATTAAAGAAAATAGCAATAACACATTCAAACAGGATAGAAGTATGACTAATAAATGCAAAAGCTCCACTAGAAGCAGAGCACATAGGATTTTTATTTCTATTTTAACTTTGTGGTGCTGCTCATTAGTTGCTGCTAAAATCTAGTAAAAACATTTGGAAGTGAAAATGTATTTGCTTAAGGTTGTTATGGGTAGAAAGCCTACTGGAATGATTGGGTGGTGCAGGACTGACTGTCAGAACTCAACCTTTCCGCTTCAAAACTGAGCTGTGCTTTGGAAAGAGGGTACCAGTACTTCTCTTCTGTACACTGACTCTTTAGTCAATCCTGTGTCATATGTGTCCTGGACTCTAGCACACTTCAGGGCAGCCCAAAGAAAGCTGCAAGAATCAGATATCTTTGTGAGTTGAAATTGCTTTAATTGTGCCCCGTGTGGCTCAGATTCTCTCTCCCGTCAACAGTCAACATCAACGTGAAATATTCAAAGAGTGTAGGTATTGCTTTATGACTGTAAATTACCCGAGTTTCGCCTTACATAAGAAAAATACTTAAGCTCAATAAATGAGTTGAAAGCTGCTTTGTTTTGCAAAGTGATTACAATTACACTGAAGAATTTGGACCTTTGAGACAGTGAGCTCTTAAAGGTAAACACAGAGGGCATGGTGTAGAGGTAAACAGAAGCAAGCTGTTTTCATGGCCTTCTCTGTCATTCAAATGCTTCTTGCTGGAATACAACTACTCCTTTTTTTTGCCTTGTAGTGGTAAAGCACTGGATTTGACAGTGTGCACCGTCGAGCTTGGAGCGTCCCTAGGCAGCCTGCCTGTGACTTCAGTGGTAAAACTGATTTTATGAGGTAGCAGCTAAAGAATGTTTACTATTTGTATGATAGCATATCTAGATTTGTAGCACATAATCCATCCATAAATATGCGTTTTCTCTGCCTTTCAAAATCTGCTTGGTTAATCATTTACACTTGGGATCATTTTAGTTCATATTGTCATGGGTTTGGGGATAATTGTGCAAGAGTTAAAAGGTCTTAGCTATGTCAGTGTCAGGAAGCAATGCTTCTATTTATGTTAATTTTACAGGTAATAGGTACAATTAACTAATTTTTATAGTAGAAACATGATTTCCAAATTGGAAAGTGGAAATTAAGTGCAAAGTTCTAGAAAGTGAGTACAGGACAGAGTGGAAGCTATTACTTCTCCCATGCAGTGCTGCACTCTGTGGGGCTCCTGAATAATCGTTTACATTTTCATCTTGAGCTAATGAGTTATGTGAAGGAAAAATGCCTCCAGATAGATTTAGAACACTGTTTTAAAGTGATTGTCACACAAAAGCTAATTGCAAAGGAGTATAATTTCTGAAGAATTAGAATCTTCTAATGTTAATTTCCCAGAGGGAAAGACATCAGATGAGATATTAATTGCCATAACTATTGTTCTTTCTTTTTATCGTTTGTGCTAATCTCCACTGTTTCCAACACAGCATCAATCTTTTAATCAACTTAAATTAAAACTTACAATTCTGTTTATTGGCAATGTTCACTAAGTTTGGAAATCTAGTAGAGTAAAAATTTGAAAGCAGATGATCTCTAAATCCTGGTGTTACGTTTTCACTTTGAAAAGTACATAAAATCCCCTTACTGTGACAAAGATTATATGTAGTTATAATACCTATCATCCTTATTCCTTCATCATACCTTAGCTCCCACAAGACATCTTTTTCCTGAGATCTTAGCCTCCTTTGTGTGGTGAGATTTCTGTTAGACTTATATACTAAAGGTGAAAAGGCAGCAAGTCCATGCAATTGCATTTCATAGAATATTATTTCATAAGACAAAAACATGCCAGAGACTTGTAACAGTTAATACGTCTGGTCAGATTTTGGTGTTCAGAAACATTGCTCATCACAACATAGTTTATTAAAACAGATGTAGCTGAATAGGATAAACTTCTAAGTTTGGGTTTGCTTTTCTGCTTTGATCCTGTAGAGGAAGCAAGTTTTCCCATCTCCCCCTCCCACTCTCCTCTGTGGGAAGAGTTAGCCTGAAGTATTCACAAATCTTTTGATCCCTGTCAATATTCCATGTGCATAGCTGCATCTCTGCCTTGACACTGAGTTTCTGGACTGGAAATGGTACGGCAAACAAACTCATCTCCATATATGAAGGTTCCTACAGTGTGACAGGGCGGTCACATGTATTATCCACTGTTTGGACTGAATGTGATTACTGGCTGACTATATACACGTTTGGATGGGCTATACGTACAAAATTATTTTTTAAGCAAAATCCTTTATGTTGATGGACTTTGTGTAGCCATGAAGCACTTGCTTATGAAAAAATACTTGGAAGCATTGAGAGATCTCTAGGAAGTTACAAAAAACTGTGAAAGAGGATGGGGTTTGGATGCTGTGACAGGTGTTTTCAAAAGTTCTTTTTTTTCTTTTTAAGAAGCATAAACATTCTTTTAATTGTTTACTCTTTGCTTGTTCTTCAGACAACGTAATATCCTCTGTATTAATGCATTAGTCATCAAGCATGATCTTTCTTAAATCTTAGCCATCTAGATTTCTTGCAGAAGATAAGAAAGAGCAGTGCTGAAGCTAAAGAAAACAGGAAGATCCCATGAAGAGAATATAAAAAGCAACTGGATTAAACTGCTTATTACAAAGCAAGCAAAAATATTTTAAAACTAATCCTTGACTATGTCACCTCTGAAAGCTTCAAAGACTAGTTGTTTGTTTTTTCTTTTTCTGAACCTTGTCACCATGAAAGAAGATTGATTTGCTACCTGCTCAGATGAATAATTGTTGATGAAAATACATTTAAATTTAACAGCTTTAAATGCAACAAATTTCAAAAAGAAATACGTTTTTTTTAAATTGTTATGCATAAAGAAATCTTTCTTTAAGTACGTATTAGCAGAAATTACTTTTCAAATAATCTTCATTTAATAGTGTATGGATTTTTTTGTAAGTTCCAAAGTGTGCATGGCACAATTCTGTTCTCATCCCACTTTACTTGCTGAGCAAATCTGTTTTGGTTTATGTCAGCCACTGTTTATCAAGCACTCTCCTTTTTCAATACATCTCAAATGAGATAAAAATGTGTCTAGTGTTGTTGACATCAGACCCCTGAAACCAGCTGCAGAGTTGCTATTGTTTGGTTTCAATGCTCCCTAAAATGAATTTCCTTTCTGTTGAATCCAAGGGATATGGTGAGTGACAGGCCTTCTCTTTTTTTTAATCACACAGATCTGGCTGTTCCTCTAGATGCCCTGATAAGCAGCGCATATGTGTGTGAAAGGAAGGGAAACAGGAATTCCTTTCGGAAGGGTGACAGCTTTAGTAAGACTAAAGTGAGTTCAAGGCAGATGTTCCTGGCAGAAGTCAACTGAAAACTCACATCCTAAATTTGCACAGCTGCCAGCAAAGAAACATACATTTATCTTGGCTCTTTTTTCAAACATCGATCTTGTTAAAAAAAAAAAAGAAAAAAAGAAAAAAAAATCAATCAAAAGCTGTATAAAGAGCTAGCTTTGCAGCAAGTATATAGAATGCTGACATGTTGCAGCATGAAAAAAAATGTGATGATTTAATTCCCAGAAAATTTCAGCCCAGAAGTAATGTTAATATTCCTTGGTTTAATATGTGAATGTTTCAGTCTTATGGGGTACTTCAGGGGCAAAACATTGCATTTAATTAAGCATTTGTTGGTATTGTAATCAAAGTGGTGGAAATGACGCAAAGATCTTTCCTCTCAGAGAACAAGAAGTGAAACTGTGTCTGATGCTATGTCTATAACATGAATTTGAACCTTTCTTTCTTTCAGACATCCAGGATATATGTTACAGACTCCACTGATGCTCCTGGCCTCCTAACAAGTACACTATTCTTGGTGTGTGCTTCCTCTTGTGATTCTGTTCAGCACTAGCCTCTTTGATTTCCCCATTCTTCTTGTTCTGTGCTCCTCTTAGGCAGAGCACTACTGCTCTCTAGTTTTAAATGATAATAATATAGAACAACTTCTAATGCCTTGGAACTCAGAGGCAGTATAGACAGATAGATTAGTTCAACAGGGTGAGAAGCAACGTGGCTTAGTAGATCATGTAGGATGCAACCTTCCTTATAAGCAACTTTAGAAATACTGTAGAAGCTAATAAAGCCATCCTGAAAGCCCATGATTTTGGCTGGCTGAAGAATTTAACTTGAAGTTCTGAGAGAAGCTACAGTTGTGGAATGCTAGATAAGATGATAAAGTATTCAGAAGAAGCTGAACTTCATGGTAGTATAGTTGAAGAAATGTCATCACGGCATAGAAGTATTTAATAATGGAGATTTCAATTGCTCTTCAAACACTATAACAAGGAAAATAAAATTGAAGCTTTGTAGCACGCTAGGAAGGTCACTTAATCTGAGCTCTGATATTCTGTCTTCTACTTCTGATTAAAACAATAATTGTTATACTAAGAGCATGGGATTATAACATGCTGAAGAGCTAACTGAAGTTAATGAATTTTGAATTTTGACTTTTTTTTAATTCTAAAAAAAATATCTCCAAAGAGCAGATGGTATTAAAGAAAAATGTTATATCTACAAATACCTGAAAACTGAAGAGGCTAAACTGATTTGGATAAAACTAAGCCCATTTACTAGATGGTGTCAAATGACAGCATAAACAAGACATTTTCTTTCTTTCCTTGCTTCTTAGTAATATCTACTGTCTTTCTCTCCCTACTCCCTGTACAGAATTGCTCTCAAGATGTTTGTCTGATCTTACCATGCTTCCCTAAAAAGGACTACCAAGACAATATCTATAAAAAAACTCTTCCACTGCCCCACCCTTTTCAATATTGTGTTCTTGCGCCCCGCCAGGACGATAGTAAACAGACTACAGTGAGTCTGTTTCTTCTATGGCTCTCCTCCAGGGATCCTGTCTATTCTTTGTGAAATAACCATGAGCACTAAGTCACGTGGCCGGAGGCAGCATATTTTAAGAATTGAAGCAATGCTCCCCACTGGTGCCCTTGAGATTCTGCGTAATATATTGTTGACTAGGCAGCTCTATGTAGGGAATCCTGGACAGATGTGAAGCTAGCCCAGAGGAGGCAGATTACATTAACAGCTGTTGTGAAGTGCTTAATTACTAAAAGCTCTGCTAGACTAATACTTTCCTCTTGATTCCAGAGGCCTCTCGTGTCTTTTCTGATAGAGCAAATTCCCACCTGCTCTCCAAGGAAGCTGCTTAATTAGATTAGAATGGACCATTGGAAGGCTGTAAAGTGCAATACACAGAGTTATCTTCTACACTGTTTCTGATTATTAGAATTGTGCTTGAAATGATTTATATTCAAACAAATTCTCTTTTAAGCTTTTGAACAGTGATTAGAGACAAGTTATGTCACTAGGTAATGTATTTGTTGTTCCAACAGTACCTTTTCATCAGTGAGAGAACTGATATGGCTGAGCTATTAAATATTTTTTTGATGTTTTTGACCCCTACCATCTCAAATTCTTGTTTTTCTCCCTTCCCTGTGTGACTCTCACACTTCTCAGTCCTTTGCCTCACTCACCATTACACTCAAATTTCCTCACATATACTGTGCTGCTCTCTACTCTAGTGCAAGGAAACAAAACTTTTAGTGCAGAATGTATTCAGTGTGAGGATTGCTTTAGACAAATTTTGGACTCCTTGTTCACAGATTAATTAATCTTCTATTTGGGTTTTTGTTTTGTTTTGTTTTTTAACATCCTGGCTATGTATAAGATTTTCTGTGTGGATTTATAAAGGAGTTTATTTTAAAATTATTAAATAGCATTGTTGTAAATCAGAAAAAGACTAATTGTCGAATTATGTGAGAAACCACTTCCCAGTTTCTTTGAGTCTTCGGACTGTTCCTGGAGTGATGTGATAAGTTCACCATTCAGAACTACTTTGGACAATAGGATTTCAATATCTGGGTCTTAATTCTTTATCTAAATTTCCATTTTTCAAGTATACACTATAGCAAATACAATTTCAAATTATAAAGTAACTTGCTGTAGTATCAGATCTCAAAATATGAGCAACATAAATAGATATGTAAATACATAAAAAGCAGAAAACAAAGAACTTTTTTCAAAATGTGTCACAGTTGCACAAATTCCAACATGCACAACCATATGAAATTGCAGTCTTTGGAATACAGCCCGTATGATGGTCTCCTGATGATCCTTCATCATAATGACAAGATATCTGAAAGATCCATATAATACAGGCCAGTATTGCATTAATCCATATGCAGTTTGATCTACTCATCAGTGACAAGATCTGCCTCCAAAGCTCTGTTTGATGGGAGACACCAGCATTGGTTCATCCCTGGAAGTGACTGAGATGTATTACTATTGTGCACCAGTCCAGTGGCTACTGTGGCCTTTAATAATAGAATCAATAACTACGTGCATTGAACTGATGTATGCTGGCTCTTTGTTTAATTATTTGCTTAGTATGTGTTTAGCCATTTCTCCGAAGAAAATGGAATCTTACGTATTCAAATGGTAGACTTTCTTATCAGGGCATATGTCTGCTTCATTTATAGATAGGGGATAAAAACTGGAACTTTAAATATAATATATCCCATATCTGTACTTGGAGGTGAGATCATGCACATGCTATAATTACATTCTTGATTCTGCTCTCTGTTATACATACCAGTTAACAACCAGCTGGACAACTTCAAATAGTCAAGAGAATCCTGTTAGGAAAATTCTTTTCTGCATAAGTATGAATGCTGAAGTCTCTGTAAGCTAAATATCCACTGAAATTAAGGCTTTATTGCTTTGGAAATATACTTGGGAATCTAGGGGTAGAGATGAGGGAAGAGCAACTTATCATCATCTACCCACCCTAGTCTGTAGACTGAGATGCTTTTTGGAGACTGAGGGAAAGAATATGTTTGCTACAGAATCATAGAATCATAGAATTCTTAAGAGTTGGAAAGGGCCTCTAGACTAGAAGGCTATCTAGTCCAACTCCCAGTCTGGGACTCCTTTTGCTAAGTATCAATTGCATCCATATGACAAAGATCCACGTTTGTCCAGGGATATTGACTGGGGCAGATTATATTTGTGAAATTCTTATTTTACACAGAACAGTATGTGTGAAAGAATTGTCACATTCTTCACTGAAATGAAGGGATTGCTCGCAGATTTCACGTATTTGTCATCCATTCCCCGTGTAGGAAATCCTAGGTCACTTCTGAGCATTTATTAAATGTGTGGGTGGGTGGATGCATGGGAGGGGACACTTTGTTGTGACACACAATTATCCACATGTAAAAGTTATGCCAGATTCCTGTAGAGGCCAGAGTGACCAGGAAACAGGCTGCAAGAGTGACGTAGGGGAAATTCGATGAGGTTGCACAAGCAGAACACTTAGCAATAAGCAGCAAAATGTCAAAGTTAGCAGGGAGGAGACTCTTATGTGTGCTAGGGTGGAGTTTTCTTTCCCTTCATCAAATTTGCAGTGGTAATAACAGTTGACATGTGATTTACATCTGCATCTCCTAGAGACTACAAAGCATTATTTGCTAGTTTGCAATTGGTTATCCTTATCTTGTTTTAAGAAATACAATCTGTTTCCTCTTTCTCATCTTGAGACTTGCAGCCAGATGCTTCAGCTGAAGCTTCCTTTGCTGTCACTGAGTACAGTTTGCCAGGATTTTAAGTGAAAATATATTAAACTGAATGAAAACCGTAATTATACAACCTTGTGTCAACTGTCACTATTCTAACGGATGAGATGTGGCAGAGGTACATGGCATAGGGCTATGGATTGTATGATTCTGCAATTTCCCTAGAAAAGAGTCTAAGAAGCACAGAGCTGAATGGAAGATTATGGAAGACCAGCAGCACACTGCCTGTCTTAGCATGGAGGAGACATGGCATCATGGTCTTTCATCCATGCTATTTGTTGTGGAGTAGAGCCTGCAGCCAGAGGGAGAACAAAGTTAGAGTTCTATGAGTGCTCCATTTGCATAAAAAATGGGCATTTATTAAGTAACACTGAAACTACTCCTAAATCTCTGAGATTTTCTCAAAATGTTTGAGGCACTTATCTTGCTGCTTGCTGTTACAACTACAGTTTTGACCTGGGCAGACTGGTGAGTGACACAGACAGACTGGTGAACTGGCTGGAGAGGAACTTGGTGCAGTCCAGCAAGGGCAAGTGTAGAGACCTGCACCTCAGGAGAAATAACCACACGCACCATCACAGGTTTGAGGCTGACCTGCAGCAAAGGACCTCTAAGGAGAAGGGCCAGGGGGTTATGGTGGACAACAGGTTGGCCATGAGCCCCCAGTGTTTTCTGGTGGCCAAGAAAGCCAGTGGTATCCTGGCATGCATTAAATAAAGAGTGGCCAGCAGGCCAAGGGAGGCGATCATCCCCCTCTACTCTACCCTGATGAGGCCACGTTTTGAGTACTGCATCCACTTCAGGGCTCCCCAGAACAAGACAGGAAAAGAGAGAGTCCAGTGGAGGGCCACAAAGATGATCCGTGGTCAGAAGCACTTTGTTTATGAAGAAAGGCTGAGAGATCTGGGTCTGTTCAGCCTGGAGAACAGAAGACTTAGAGGGGATCATATCACTGATATGCTTATAAATAACTAAAGAGTGGGAGTAGTAGTGGGATAGTAGAGTGGATGGTGCTAGGCTCTTTTCAACTCAGTGACTGACCAATGAACACAAACTGGAATACAGGAAGTTCCATAAAAACATGAGAAAGAATTTTCTTAATTGTAATAGTGACAGAACACTGCAGCAGGCTGCTCAGAGAGGATGTGGAGTTTCCTTCTCCAGAGATATTCGAGACCTGCCTGGACACTTTCCTGTGTAACCTACTGTTCAGAACCTGTTTTAG